CGCTCTTCCTCCGACCGCTCTGCCTAGTGACGCCTCGCTCCGCCCGCTCCGCCTCGTGACGTACTCCTCCTACTCCAATCAGGGCTCCCAGCCTCCGGAACGTGTCCTCCGCGGCGTCAGCTTTCTCCCTGGCCTCGTTCTCCTCCGCTTCGTCCGGGATGAAATTTTTCTGCCCGAGCTGCTTTGGACCTCTTCTTCCCTCTTAAAGCAATAAGGACAACAGCTGTAAGTAATTTGCACCGCTATTTCTGAACCGAGTCACTTATTTTTCTTGCTTATTTCTCCTGATATTTATCCCCATATTCCTGCGCTTCTCCCGTTAATCACCAACTTTACTGGACTTTCTGTGGATTCTCCCCTGGCCGGTTTATTTTTTCAAAATTCCACCACCCTCTTATCCTCCTAGCGCAATTACCAGTTAAATTTAGCTCCTTTCCTGCTATCAACCTTTACTCTTAATGTATGGATGTTATATTTTTACTATGGTACTTAGCTTCGGGTTTGTCTCCAAACGTCTTGTTTTCCCCCTGTGGTTTTCTCAAGTCTCGGCTTATGCAGTCGGTCGATTTCTGTCCGTCCCTTGTGCAAATGGAGGCAGAACAAATACCACCAGTTGGGATGGACTGTCCATTCAGCATGGTGGTATGGCTCCGGTCTGGGCAAACAGGAAAACAAAGATCTTTGCAAAAACTTGCAATTGTCGCTTCACTGTACCTTTCTTGAAATGCCCCTTTTGTTGAGTCGAGCATATCTTGATTACCTTGAGGATTTGCCCATGAACCGTCTTGCCTTTGCGGGATGGCAGCATTTGGCAGGGCAGGCAGGCAACAGCTGATCACACATGTTTGATTACCGCTGCCCTGGATCATCATCAAAAGTCTTTAAAAAACACCCAAAGGAGGTTGTATGTGCTGCTTTCCAGCCTGAACAGTTTGGCACCCTTCTTCCTTCTCTGAAGAACATAACAACATAAGAGAAGCCAATGCTGAATCAGGACAATGGCCCATCTAGTCTAACACTCTGTCACACAGTGGCCAAAAATACCAGGTGCCATAAGGAGGTCCAGCAGTGGATCTCTTTCCTTCATCTTCACACCTAGGATTTTCTTTCTTTTCTTTTGTTCTTTTTCTCTCTCACACACGTGTACATCTCTGTGGCTAAGGAAGTCAATTTAATTTCAAGGTCCCATGGTCAAACCTGTATTTCTTCCAGTACACGGGGAGTTCACCTACTGGATAGAGGATGAAAACAAGCAACGCTTTCCTAGCTGCTGAAATCTTTGGTCAGTTTCGTTTTTCTATGAACAATGAAATTGATCAAGGCTTTCTTAGCCACAGAGATACTGACCTTCAGGAAAAAA